GTGAGAGTTGTGAGACACTGGAACAGGTTGCCCAGAGAACTTGTGGATGTCCCTTCCCTGGAAACGTTCAAGGCTCTGATCAACCTGGTCTAGTGGAAGGTGTCCCTGACTGTGGCAGGGGGGTAGGACTAGACGATCTTTAAAGGTCCCTTCCAACCCCAACTGTTCTTTGACATCGTGCTTAGCAATAAAACCTTGGGGAAAGGACAAGGAAGGAGGGGATGTTTGTGGTTATGGCGTCTATCGTCTCAAGTAACCATTAGGTGTGCTGCTTTTCAGGAAGCGGCTACATATCTGCCTGCTGACGAGAAGTAGTGAATAAAGTCCATATTCTGCTTTGCTTGCAAGCGTAGCTTTGCCCTCACTCATTAAAATGCCCTTATATCAACCCATTAGCCTTCTTGCTCTTGCTCTTCTGATTCTCTCTCCCACCCCGTTGTGGGGACAGTCAGTGAGTCACTGGCCACGGTCAACCCCCACAAATAGCAAAGTATGTTGTTAAGTAATTTGATTACAAAATTGGTAATAGTTATAGATAGGAAAAGCAAAACAAAACTCATTATTAATACTAGCCAAAAGACACATCTATCTTGAGGAATTAACTCATGTTTTCTTGCAAAGTATCACCCCACTTAGGCAGAACCTGGGACACATACACCCTTCATTATGTGTCATTTCCCTGTGTAATGAATCATGAAAAAGGTACTGCCTTGAGAAAGAACTTGTGTTAGGATACAGCTTCTCAACATAAAAACCAGTCAATTTGACTCTTGCTCCCCTCAACACCCCTAGTATTTTTTTTAATTAATTATAAAGATCACCTTTTTCTTCCTAAATAAAGATGCTGAGTCAGGTCCTTTACACTAATGTTCAGTCTGGTTTGCAATCGTCTTTTACCAACTCTAGAGCAATGGTATATTATTTGTGTGCATGGGACAAGCTTTTAACCCATGACTGAAAACAAACAAACAAAAAAAGTACATACACTGATATGCATGGGTAGACAAAAAAAATGCATCTTTTCTATTGGACATGGTTCTCAAGAGATAAGGAAAAAGACTTGTATAAGTGATGAAGTGTGATAATATGAAAGGCTGCAAGACAGTTGCTTAAGAAACAAGCACAACAAAGGAATAAACTACTGCAGGCATCACCAGAGCTGGAATGACATTGTACTGTGTACTATGTTTCCATAGCAACTAGACATAGGAAGATGAATGTCTCATATTCACTGTGCTCTGCAGTACATGTCTATAAATCAAACTTGCATAAAAGAGTATAAGATTTCTTCCATGGGGTGGCTCTGAAAAACAGGTTATTTTCTCATTACTAGATAATTACATGAAAGAAATATGAGACAATTAGGTAATTTTTTCTATGGAAAGTACCAATACATACAAAAGTACTAATATACCTCTAGAGTGTTATTCTATCAATCTAAAGGCCGGGTAGCATAAAAAGCAGATCTTGAAAGCCTTCTTTTCTTCCTTATGATCTGATTTACACTTGCTAGCTTTAAAAACTGAATGAGACTTTTCTGTCCACTTTTGGTTTGTAAGACATTTTTCATCATCTATATGTTCACTCACATTCACATGTGATTGATTTTCAGCTTACTTCTGTCACTGTTTGCATTATCATGCTCTGAGGTTTTAGCATACAAATAAATTATTTTTCAAGAAAATGTTATAGCTGAGACATATATTTTCTCAGCATCTGTAATTAATAATATTGTATACTTTCAATATGACATTCATACTCACAACAAAAAAGAAAAACAGTACTTGAAAATTTTTTTTTTAAGAATTTGAATCCAACTTTAAAAGATATATCTGTTCTATATCTGTTCATTTATAGACAGTCATTTATCACAAATTATTGTTGCAAAGGACTTGACACGCTTCATATTCATGTAGCCACATGCAGATCAGCAGCATTAGTATAAAGAAATTCTTGTGTGTGCTACCCCTTACAGAGAACCCCATCATGAAAGAACATACCACCACACCATTGACCTTAGCAGACACTTCTGCTACTCCTGTGCCAAGAGTGTTGAGTTTTTAGAGTACAATGGCATTTTAATCAGGTGCACACGAGGTGCATGATAAGCCCTTGATCATTTTGTTCAATGTGACTGCAATATTAGCTCAGAAACAATAAACGTTACTCTACTGTTCAGGCAAGATTACGGTCAGTTAATACAATCAAATATAAACTGACAGCTCGCCCACATTCTCCAAACTTTAGCAACAGCTGTATGCAGTATATTACTGACATTTGTAAGAAAACAACTTCCCAGGAAAAAGAACATCTACATTAGGCAGTATTTTATCAGTATGAGATTAAAATAATTCCCAAAGAATTAAAAAAAACCACAAACCCAAACTGACTCTTTACTATACTTAGACTACTTAATGAGGTATCCTATTTCTTTCATAAAGTAGAGCATTTAACACCACCACTCCACCGTAAGCTCTCATCATCATGGCTGGGCTTTGCGAACGAAGATTTGGGAAGGCTCTATCCACGTTTGTTACAGGCACGCTGGTGACTTACGAGGCCAATACGAGATAGACATATCTGATTGCAAAAGGCACAGCAGAAAGACTCCTTAGATGGTATATTCTGCAAGGCACGAATCTTTCTGCACTGTCTTTTCTCCTCGAGAGTGATCCTGCGTGTGTTCTCAAAGGAAACGGCAGCGTTGTAGATGGTGTGTCTCCAGGCCTCCCAATTTGAGGCGAGAGTAGACCAGTTAGGATGACCAATGTGGCCGAGGTTGAGGTGTTGTTTCAGGGAGTCCTTGTATCTTTTCTTCAGGGCTCCTCTCATGCGGCAGCCAGTGGCAAGTTCACCATAAAGCAGGATCTTAGGGAGGCGGTGGTCCTTCATCCTGGAGACGTGCCCTGCCCAACGCAGCTGTGTTCTCAGCAACATGGCCTCAATACTTGTGACTGCTGCTTGTTCCAAAACAGATGTATTGGTCACATAGTCTGACCAGCGGATGTTTAGGATTGTATGGAGGCAGCGTTGATGGAAGCGTTCTAGGAGACGCAGGTGGTGGCGGTAGATGACCCATGATTCGGAACCGTATAAGAGAGTAGACAGCACTATGGCTCTGTAAACACTGATCTTGGTGCTTTGATTTTAGTATATAGTTAAAACAAATATTGGCTTTAGGTACCAGGTGGGTCTCCTTTGTAGCCATATAATCCATTATTCTTTAGGTTCCTGTTACATTATATTAAACATTTTAACATTATTTTGATATTAATAATGAGAAATACAAGAATTCCATTTTTGAGCCTCAAATTTGTTAAAATCAGTTCAACATGTGATGCCTCATTATGAGCACTTTGCACGCCCACAAATAAAGTCTACTTTATCCAAAAGCTCAATGACTCTGGTGGGGTCCTTCATTCTTCATATAAAGCAATTACTGGTATTATTCCTTCCCTGTGTTCTGCTAGCTTGAATACACTTGTTTTCAATGTTATGTTTAAGAATATGTTGAGCAAAAAAAAAAAAAAAAAAAAAAAAAAAAAAAAAACAATTCCCTGCTCTGTATGGCAAGCAGAGAAGCCAAGTATTATGTATATGCCTTTACCTTTTTTCCCTAATTCCCTTTCCTTCCTTTCCTTTAAGCCTTTGTGACACCAACCACAGACTTAGTTTATTCTGTTACAATTTACTTTAAAATTTAAAGTATAAGACAATAATGCATGCAATAAAGCATTCCAAATTAAAGCAATGAGTACCTGACATGGTTTGGAGACAGCATTTCCACCAAAGTCAAAATTTTATAAATAAACATAAAAAGCCCTTTTCATACAACAGTATCACAGAGCTCTGAAATATACAAATAAGGCTTTTTCTCCCCTTGTCTCAAAATGTCATTATGTTTTACTTTTGGATTTGGAATGCTCTCTTGAGCTGAATCTCCCAGTCTTTGCCACTGACTGTACTACGGGGAACAGTGATCACAGCAGGCAAACTGCATTTCTTCCAGTAAAATTAAACTGAAGAATGTGTGCTAGGCATGCACCCAAAGGACTCCAACTTCTAGTGATCATTCAGCCTATTGACCAGACTAGATTAGTCCAAGTAATCCTCTCAATGAATACAGATACTGGGTCCCCAGCATAAACTTCTTGCTCTACAAAAGCACAATTAATGGGTTCGTTAATTGTTAATGCAGACATAGTTTTAAAACTCACATTTTATCAGTCATTGCATCTAAAAATACTAAACATCTTATCTGCATATGTACTGTAAATTATTTTACTTAATATAAAAGAAATATTTTAAAATTATGTTCAGTCCCAAAATTTAGTTTTGATCTCTGTGCTAAAAAGAGGGAAGAACAAGTAACACATCTACAAATACGAAATTATATATGCTCTGTTTATTTCAGCAAACTATTGTAATACAGGTTTTGTGTCACAAATACATGAAGCTTCTAACAAATATCTATGTCCAAAACATTTCCTCTGGCTTTGTTTTTATACAGTTTTAATCCAGTTGCACAGCTCAATTTAGGACAAAATTCTTACCTGTGTCTCCCTACAAAAAGTTCAACATCCACACTTCTGAGCCAGTCTCACCTTGCAAGAGATCTCACCACTACTGCTCTGCAATACTAACTGAATTTTCTCAAGAGATAGCTCTTGAATGCAGATTCCCTGATTACAGGATGAAAATGTAAAAGTAAAAAGCTTTAAGCTTCTTAAGACACAGTACAGGCAAAAAATTACTTTCTGTATCTAGTGATATTTATTATTTACAGTAATTATTTTTATAAATACCATCTATACAGCTTATATTAATTATTATATTATTAACACCTATTACTTGTGTTTATAATCTTTATTAATAAAGGCACTGAAACAGCAATGGTGCTGAAGCTCATCTTCAGCTGCATTACAGAATTTTCAATTAACTGAAAAATATAGAGCAAAAAGACTGCTATCCAGGAATAAGGATCAATTTGTTAATCTTACCTGAAGGCTTCAACTATGATTTTTTTCTGATAACTTAGGAGAAACAGAATTGAAGGCTCTCTTGAAGTCTTTGAAAGTCAAAAATCCCCTATCTTTTAAATCAAGATTAGGAATGGAAAAAAATATAAATTAAGGATTTTTTTTTAATCTACTTAATACAATTATGTTTGCATGTAAGCTGATCAATTCCTAGTTCTCAAATAATTATACACTCTTTAAGTTACTGCATTAGCAAAATATTTTAGAAAGGCTACAACAGACGGATGAACAGTATAAACCTGATCTTTTTAGCCAATGTGAACCCTGTTCAAAAGTAATATGCCTACAACTTCCAAAACTCTCTCATTTAAGTTTCAATTTTAAAAGCAGACACTTTGATTTGAAAATTTCGATTTTGTAAAACTTTGAAAATACTCTAAAATATGCAAAATTACATTTCAAATCTACCCTTTCCATTGTCAACTTAGTTACTTCTAGCATTGTGTTTCAAAATTTTTTTTCATAAAAAAATTTCTCCTTCAGTTTAATCCTGCTGAATGCATCATATCAGAGCATATCCACTGATCAGTCACTTAGGTTATGAATTAACTTCCAGATCCAACTGGAAAATGAAGCATCTCAAACAGGGCTATCGCAAACTGTGTGCAGCAGACAGCAAAACAAACAAAAGCATAGTGCTTGAAACAGTTAAGTCCTTTGAAGTAACTCACTAAAAATAACACTTCAAAAGCTACTTTTAGTTCACGGCAAAAAGCTGAATGCATGCTTATCAGATTCCCAACATCTGACCTGCCATATGTTGCACTTTCCTTCTTTTCAAGGACCACAGTCCTTTCTGAGACCAGGAAGAAAAATGCTAAGGATCATGTGAAAGTCCATCATCTCAGAGGTTTCTGATGGGAAATCCTCTGCTGTTTAATAGAAAGGATCACCACATCTACCTCCCAACACGAACAAGAAAAAATCCTTGTTGCTTTGGTTTCCCTTCTTTGGTCTATCAAGAGAAGTAAAAATGATCTATGGCCAAAACCAAGGACAGAAACTGGTAAAACCTGTGACATAAATGAGTGGACAAATATGAGTCAGAGACATAATGAGAGGCAGTAACAGTTCATAGGTAGGGTGAATGGCTAGAGATTTCCTTTCACAGTTGGAGGAGCTCCTACTACAACAGGCAGAGCTACAGTCTAGAACGCTGCAGCCACTGACCCTGACTTTATTTATAATAATATCATCACCACATGCGTTAGTCTAGTACTGCTTCCCTTAAGTTTGCAGCATCCAGGACATCATCTTTTTATTTCCTTCAGGTGTTCTATTTCGCTTAATTGTTTCTGAATTAAAATAATATTCCAAATATTTAGGAGAAGAAACCTTATGTTGCACATAGCGACAGCAAGAGCTGTAAACATTTGACTTGTTTCATTACTGTATAACTGTGCAGTCTTCATTGCACTCATGAGATTTAAAAAACTTCTCAAATAATGGACCTAGAAAAATGTAAAACAGAAATAAATTTCCCTCCAAAACCAGCTAGTTTCATTTTTCCACCTTAAAAATATGGTCTACTAATTATGAATTATTTTAATTATATAAATAAAAATTAAAACTGAAATAATAGCCTTCAAAATTAGATCATGATCATGCAAACATTTCAATATAGTTTAATTTTTCTCACATATTTTCTACACTTGAGTATAATGCTTCTGTTTACTTCTACTTTCTCCTTCTTGTTATCTGCCATCTCATGTTTCTTTGCACTGGAGAGAAACATGGACTTTTTTAAGTCAATAGCATTTGCATGCTATGGATAAATATACATGCTGCATAAACAATCTATCTGGCATCATTCCCAGAAGTGAACTCTGAAACAATGTATAAACTCAGCTATAGATTCCTACAAAATTCATGATAAAATTGAATGTAAAACTGGATTGGTTATTCCTCCTGTATACTATATGAAAGTCTTTACTTGTACATTTATCTTATCTTTCTAATGAACTGAAAATTAAAGAAATTGAAATGCAAATCTGGTTTGTAAGCTCTTAATTGACCTTTTTTTCTAAAATCAAAGTAAAACATAAAAATTAAGAAACAAAAATCTGACCCTCAAAAGCTCAGGCCTCTCCATAAAATATGCAAGAATCTTGAAATAAAAATTCTGCAGACACATGGCTTCTTGGGAAAAAATTCCCAATTCAGCTCAATATTTAAACACAGATGAATACTCTTTTCTTGTAACTTTTTAATATATGCCTTATGATCATGTTAAACAAATTTGTTTTCCTGAGAAGGCAACATGACTGCATCCTGCAGGAATTTTTCCTTTATCTAATAACATAACAAAAGCTCTGCACTTCTCTTTCTTTTGATTCATTCATGTCCTATTCTTTCTGCAGTGGTTCAAAAGCACAACTCCTTCAGCTCCACCTGCTGTCTCAATTCAAATCTTAAACTCCAAGTGTACAGATTTCCAGTGCTTCTTTGCTTATTTCTTCTTGGAAAATCATATATTAAGAACCATTACGGTCTCAGTTTCCAGGATTACACAGTCTTGCTGCTTTCAACTGCTGGGTTCTGTACATGCACCATTTCTGTAATAACAGAGGTTGCCCAAACACACTGAACTTATCTGCATGAACAGCTTTCCATTCAATTGGATAACGACAGAAGTGAAATGATAAAAAGCACTATAAGCTTTCTATCCTTTTATTTCTCCTCTTTCAGAGCAACATAAGAGCACAGAAAATTATAGTATACAATTTTCCTTCTATAGAATGACTCCTATAATAGAGTCCCGCCTATTCATTGATCTTGAGAGTTGGCAATTCATGTGCAGCTAGAACAGGATGTAAAGTTATGTCAACAAACAAAATGTCATCTTAAAAACTGTTAAAGCCAATTAGGTATTAATCTATCTTTATATCGTAGTTCACTATTTTTGGTTCACACCAAATATCGCTTTCACGTGGTATTTCTGTTGAAAAAAAAAACCCTGAGTAAAATCTTTATTTTGTATTTGTTGCCTAAATTAAAAGATTTACAAGTAAGGGTGTGGTTTAATGAGCACGGGTTTTGGCATCTATTTGCTAGAATAAACAGAACCAGCCTCCACAATGCCTTTCCAATATATTGATACAAATACTTGTAGAGCCATGTGGCAAAAGGGAAGAGGAAACTTATTGATAAAAACAAAAACAGTTTTTTGCCACTTCACTTTTTATATGAATCATTTCTCCAGTAAGACTTGCCACGTGACCCCACATACAAAAGTTCAGGGGCAAGGACAACAAAAACCAAGCAGAATTATATAAATGGGAAGCTTGTTTCAGAAAGATATATTTATTGAACTGTGGTGTAAGACTGCAGTATTTTTTCAAGGTAATAGTGGATCAGTATAAAAAAACTGATAGAAACTTTCATCACCTATCAAGTTGAACACTAAAAATTACTAACTACTTTTCTCTCTCATTAATCAATATAATCTTGCTTTTAAGAAATGCCACTTTGAGTGGCAAGAATAAGTTCAAGCTAAATGTAACACAGAAGCACTAAAGATACTACCAACCTAAATGAAATCTATTTCATAGCCATGGTCAGCTCACTTATAGAATCACAGTATCATTTAAGTTGGAAACGATCCTTAAGATCGTTTAGTCCAACCATTAACCCAGCACTGCCATGTGCACCACTAAACCATGTTCCTATGTGCCACATCTACAGGTCTGTTAAGTGCCTCCAGGGATGCTGACTCCACCACTTCCATGGGCAGCCTGTTCCAATGCTTGACAGCCCTTTCGGTGAAGAAATTTTTCCAAATATCCAATCTGAAAATCCCCTGGCACAACTTGAGGCCATTTCCTCTTGGCTTATCATTTGTTATTTGGGAGAAGAGACCGACCCCCACCTCATTACAAACTCCTTCCAGGTAGTTGTTGAGAGCAATAAGGTTTCCCCTGAGCCTCCTTTCCTCCAGGCTAAACACCCCAGGCCCCTCAGCCACTCCTCATAGGACTTATTCTCCAGACCCTACACACCAGCTTCATGATTCATAGACATTACACAACAGTAGTATCTATGGCATTTAAGTAATAAAATACTTTATTCTAATTAAAATAAAACCATCCCCATTTAATTCAGTAAATTAAGTATATATGTAGTCCTAATAGAGTCCAAATCAATACCCAAATCTTAAATTCAGTATGCTTAAACAAACACACTTAACTTTAGACAGATTGGAGTTCCCTATACACAAAGGAACTGTAATATTCAAATCTAACTTTTGGAGCATTAGCCCCCAAATTTGTTATTTCCTTTAAACAATGAAAGAAATTTCTGTTTCAGTATTCAGATTGGAGGCCAGCTTTTTACTGAAGCCATGTTGGATCAAAATTAATTTGGTAAATCTGTCTAAAATAAAAACTTCAACAAAAAGAGAATAAAAAATGAGAAAGAAATTAAAAAAACATATGTGCATCATTTATGCTTCTACAGCTATTCTGAAACAAATTTCGTCCTACGTCCTCTGTATTTCCTTTGCGATCTTTCAATAGGTTCTTACCTCACAACTTTACCTCATAAGCATACTTGGAGTGACACTTACATGTTGATTAGCGCATTTCCAAGATTCATTAATACTAATATTACTGTGTTACCAAGATTAATAGTAGAAATGCAATAAGCTAAATTACATGATGAGAACAAATTTTTTAAAAAATGACTTTTCAGAACTGAATTAGGTGGTGACCGAGAGATCCCTGCAAAACATCTATAAACAATGTAAGGGACAGAAAGGGAGTGCATAGCCAAGAAAGCACAGAGGTCCACTTTGAGCTATATTTACGTAGTTTTTTTGACATGACTGAGTGCTCATGAGTCTAAACTCTTGCACTTCCATTATCGGAACACAGGAGTGCACATAGTTGCAGAACTGGGACAACTCGCATGAGAGGAGGCCACATGTGAGCAGCTTCTAGTGCAACCTAAGCGTACTCCACCCTGGAGAATGCACAAGCCAAACACGCCGTGACCAGTTAACCTAAGGCTACACGTTCCACTTGGCCCGCAACACTTTTCCCATGACGGTGTCAGGTGTATAAACAGACTAGGGAGCCCTGTTTAGAAAGCTTTGGTAAGATGTGCCAGGAGAGCAGCTGGAAGTTGCAGGCAGCCTTGAGTTCAGAGTGCCCTCTGTACTCTGTATGTCAAGGTGCACTTCTGTTGGCACTTTCCTCATCAGCAGGTGCCGACCTACTCATGTACCTCCTATTGTACCTCTGCACCTCATGGGAAGGTACAGAGTTGGGTCAAGAAAAACACTGGACACCAGGGGCCTGACCTCCTAGGCACAGGGTAAAGAATGCTTTTAGTTAGATCTAAATGTAACAGTATGGGAAATGAAACTTCAGCCGGGGAAATGACATATTTTCATGATGACTGTTCCTGCAGTCCCTGTTTCATTTGAAACACTTAACACCTGAATGTGCAGTTAGTTAGCTGAATGGCTGCTGAAACATGAGAGTATAATTTCAAATAATTTGGGGGAAAAGAGGATCACTGAACCAAACTGTCAGAGGGAAAAAAAAGTTCCACAGACTTGATTCCCATAACGTTGATAGTTCCAGAAATGGTAATTATATGCTAACAAATACATCAAATATACATACAGTATCAGTCCAACAATCAGGTTAATCTCTGTTTTCATTCTTTTCCAGTTATTTGCTTCAGAAGCCTTAATTTTAAACAGTAATGTTCAGTAAAGTTCAAAATCTCTATGAATAACCACACTAAAATAATATTTTATAAATCATACAGAATTGTTTTAACAAAGTTATTTTGAAAAATGAAGTGGAGTAGGAATGTGATTCAAATTCTTAGGGCCCACGTTTTCCAGTAAAGAGTTCGTTCATGACATCTAGTGGGTAAAGTTAGTATTACTTTTAGTTTACGGAATAAAAACAAATATGACCAAAAAAAAATATGTAGCAACAATTTACTAACAGTTCAGTGGCTTTATTGCAGTTGATGCTAAGTTACTGCCATTTCTACTGAAAAATTTATGTTAGTATGGAGTATAGCTGAGGAAAGAGTTCCACCTTAAGAAGTAATGTGTGCACACTATTCCCTATTTCTTGCAAAAGCAATTGAAAGGACCCTTCTTTCCAGGGCTGTTCTTAGTAGCTTCCAAAAAAAATACAAGGGCTGTTAATATAATGCAGGATTTTAATAATTTTGACAACGTAGTAATATGCACAATAACACGCTCAAGAACTGGATCCTAACAATCAACTTTCAGGATTGCAAAATCTGCATTTGGTTCCTCCCTGCTGCATAGAGGGTTGTGTTTCTCAGAACTAGATTAAAAACCACACAAATGTTGAAAGGAATACATACAGGGCCTAATCTCCAGTAAAAGCAAAACCTGTGGCTGTGCCATAAACCATAGCCACCAAAAAAAGTATCTGCCTCTCCGGGGATCTTTTAGGGATCTTCACAATGAGCAGTCATTGGGTAAAGAGCAACAGTTGCTGGAATTGGGCCCACATAAGGAGCCAGCAAAATCATGAGATGACAGAATCAGTCCTAGGACAAACGTTTAATTAATTTTTGTGCAGCTGCATAGACAAAATGGTCTAACAGCCAGGTGGTCACGGCAGCGCCTAGAGACACAGCAGGTGTGACTTGGCACTTTTTCAGGAAGAAATAACTAAACCTGCAAATCCTTTTCTCCCAGGAGTCCTCTACTTCTATTCTCTTTCCAAAGAGGTGCCATAAGTGACTTATGCACAGAACCTGATCCTGTTTAAATGCCTTAAGCATGTTTTGAGCACTCCTGCTAGAAGAAACATCCAGGGAATTTGACAGAACAGTTAATTTTTAGATGAAGGTAAAAATAAGTAGGAGAAGAGAGATAATGGGAAGCTGAGTATTTTCAGATCCATAATTCAGCAGTTAAGACTCATGTTAGAAGTCTTTATCATTTTTAGATCTGGCCATAATTCATTGAGAAAATGTTTACCCACAGCTGAAATGTATCGAGTTCATTAAAGTCCATTAAAACATTTCTGTGGGTTTTACTTTAAATTATCATAGATGTAATTTTGTTTATGACCTTGTTAAGACAATTTTTGTAAAATATGTATTTAAGTAAAAAAAAAAAAATTAATTAGTCCCAAGTGGTCCTTGATGAAGAAGATTCTCAAGCTGGAAAAGAAAGATGAATGACCATTTCTACTTTATACATACTTTATCTATATAATATAGTTTGTATTGACATGCCATCAGAAAGATAAACTCACAATCATAATGTATTTATTCTGAAATCTTGTGTGTTCTTTGCACTCTTTTTCAATTCACTTAAGTAGAAACATAACTTCCAAAACTACATCAAGCCATATAATTTATCCAGTATTTTCCTGATTGCAAACACACTATTTCTCTCAATTAACCTTTCTCTTGTCAACATTTTTGTAGAGCCGTAGGTTTACATTTGAGAAGTCAAGGCAAAAAATGCCCAACTATTACTTGAAACTTAAACCAGATATATTATTGAGAATACATAATTATTATTAGAACGTGTCAGTTTCACATCTACTGAAACTACTGAGTAAAGAAATTGAGTGTACCACTATTAAAAACCAAAAGTCAATCAATAACAAGCTCAGTGAGTCATTTATTTCATGTCTTGTACACATATGAAATAGAGTACATCCTTCTCCTCATCACCCTCTGCAGCAGGAGAAGCAGGGGTTTGATTATTTTCTTCTGAAATAAATATCTGCAGATAAGAAAATTACTTTAGAATCTGTAGGTATTCTGTGAGACATCTGGATCTTCAGAACATAGATGGAAAAGTATACACCTTTGAGGGTTTCTAACAAAAAAACATTACTAGAGCAACTTTAATATCTTCTCTGCTTAAATAGCCTTTGCTGTCTTCCTCACGTCCTTTAAAAAGCTAAAAAAAGAAAGTGATTTGCTTTAAAAACAATAAAGGCAAACTAATATTTTTTTACTTTGCGTAACTGTAATAGGAAAAATAAAATACGCACCTGCTGAATAAATTATGCTATAAATAAACTATTGAAGATTAGTCACATCTCTGTCAGAACTCTATTTATCTACTCTGTTCCAGTAGCTGAAAATGGACCAAGTCCATTCAATTTTAAAGTTAAAATAAAGTTTATCCTACTTCTATGTTTTACATACTTATAATGAAAAGGCTTTTTGCAAACTTAGAATGCATAGTACAGACTCCTAGAAAAGAAATTACATTAAATTTGTCTCTGCAAGCTCTTAAACTTTTTCTTAAAAAATTCCAGGCAGCTTTAATTCTCAGCACTATGTAGACAGGAACTATGAAGAGAGAGTGGAGTGCCAGCAGAGTCAGAAGCCATTCAACTTTCTTAAGTACTTCTAGAAAACAAATACCGTTTCCAGAGTCTATATTTAGAGACTATGCCCATTACATACAAAACCATGCAACTCTCCTAAGAGATTTTCCCACAGAAGACCTTCAGCAAGGGTTCATAATACAGAATTTAATCTTACAGTAGTGAAGAGTACATCCTCGGAGGGTTTCAGGAAGAAGCATTACATACAACTCTTCAGAAAAGCACCGAGAAAATTACACAGAGCAGTTGAAATTTCATTGAACACTTTTTTCAGTGTAGCTTGCCGATTTTACTGCTGGCACTTACATAATTTGTTAACTGCAGTCACAAGCTTACAATAAATTAGAGTAACGCGAACCAAACGCTCCCACAGCTCGCTCCGGCAGCCAGAGCGCGCTTTGATGCAGGCCGCGCTCCTCTATTAATGTCACACCTGCTCCCTCCCGCTCCCTCCCGAACTCCTCACGCAGTTGTCTCATTAGCGGGGCACTTCAGACACACTGATTAACACCGCGCTGAATGAACCATTATGCAAATAACGCACCTGCCCTGAGCTAATATTTAAGCCAAATAAAGTCTCATTAGATTAATTCAGGTCACTGAGACATGCTCGTTCGGCCGCTGTAGCCTCTTTGCGGAGCCCGACCGCCCCCAGCTCCCGTGCGCCACCGGCCCAGCGGCGGGGCGGGGCTGCGCGGGGGAAGGCGGGCCGGGGCCTGCTCTCGCTCCCCATCGCGGGCTGCGGGCGCTGCAGGGGCGCCGGGCGGGCGGTGAGTGGCGGTGCCGGCGGAGCGCGGCGGGCAGGGCGGGCGGTGAGCCGGGAGGGCCGGCGGGGCCCTTTGGCGCCGTGTCCCGCGCGTCCCCTCAGCCGGCGGCGGCGGGCGCTGCCGTGCCCGGGGAGCGGCGGCGGGAGCCGCGGCCGCGCGGCCCGGGGCACGGGGGTGGCTGGGGCCGGGTGGTGCCGCCCGGGGCACGGGGGTGGCTGGGGCCGGGTGGTGCCGCCCGGGGCACGGGGGTGGCGGAGGGAGGCCGCTGTCCCGGGCTCCGCTCCCGAAATGTTTTCCCGCGGATGCAGCCGGAAAGGGCGGCCCCGGCCCGGCCCCGTGTCCTCCCAGCAGAGCGGGCGGGATGGCTCAGCCTTAGGTTTAGTATGAGAAATGCCTGCATCGTGCAGATCACTGCTCTGACTTATGGAGTGCTTTCCCATAGGTTGCCCTATGCTAGCCCGCCTTCCGTGTGCAGACTCTTCACGTTAGCTGCGTCCCATTGCACGTGCTTCTTTGTTTCCTGGGAACAGAAACAAGTAAGCCTTGTACACTATGAAATTTTCCCGAGTCAGAAGTTGCGCGGAGTTTCTGCTAAATACAGAAGCACGCTTCCTTAATAATAAACAAATGGGAGCCAGGAAGGGAAACGGACTTGAGCTTAGCAAAAATGCACTATTTTTGTTTAGTGTTTTGTTTTCTAATCCACAGAAACATGCTTCAGGAAGGCGCACATGGTAAATGGACAGTATCCAGCAGTGATGAAAGTGCAGAGGAAGATTCCGATAGTGAAAAACCATCTACATCTACACTGTCGGATGCTGCACGTGGTAGAACAAGTGAGCCGCAATATCCATGCTCTGAAGCTAGGAAAGCTGCTCACAAGAGAAAAGCTTCTCCCCTGAAGCTCACTGATGAAAGTCTTTCTACAGAAATACCTCCAGCAGCAAAACAGAGAACTAGCCAAGAAGGCTTAGGCTGGTGTCTTTCTAGTAGTGATGAAGAGCCTGAAGATCAGCAAAAGCATGCCCCCAAAGAAACAGTGAAAGAAGAAAAATATGATGCGCCCAAAGAGCAGCCTCTGAATCTTTGCAAAGATGACAAACTCTCAGAGAATTTGAAAGCCGAGGAATATAATGAAACACCCAGTGAAGCTCAGGATACCTGGGATTTGTTAAATGGAGGGAATCCCTTCAGGTTTTTTCTCACTAAAGTCAGTGGAATTGAACGGGGTTATAATTCTGGAGCCCTGCACATAAAAGGTGAACAAGTGGCTTGTACGGAAGTGGGCTTTTGGGAGAAAGCAAGAGCATGCTTAATTTTAGTTTGTGGGTATTTTTAAATGCGTGTATTTCTTGATGTAGCTGAAGTTTCGTATTCTAAATATGCAGATTTATAGGAATTGGTTCTCTTATCTGGACTTTTCTCTTCTAGAAGTATAACAAAGCATTATTTGCTTACATGTGGTTGTAACTTCTGAGTTATGCTGCACAAATCTAATGTGTATTTAGCCAAGGTAATTCAAATGTGCTTTATTGCTGCTTTTCCTATGAGTTAATATGGGGAAAACCACTTGTCTTCGTGGCAGTTATAGGGATGCTTCTCTAGGATGCCTAACTCCTTGAGTAGTTGTTTGCACTTGCCTTCGTGCTGCTGAGGGATTTGGATCTAGTAATTTGCTATTACTTGATGCAGTACTTCTGAACATCCATGTCTGGGATTTATGGGACCATTTGAATTCAGTTGGCAGTGAACATAAGTCAAGATGGAGCAAGGTGTTTGGTGTTACAATACTGATGCTTCAGGATTGCTCTGTAGTTATAGTTTGATTTAGGGGGGAAGAGCCTTGTACACCTGTAAGGATCCCCCTATTCAGAAATGAGATCTCATCTATTACAAGACAGAATCAGAAGCAAGCATTAATAAGAGAGTTATGCACAGAACAATAAAATGGGGCAGAAAAAAAATTGTAATTCTTTGAAGGAGAAGAAATCACCAAAGACCTGTAAAATTAGGTTGTAACTTTTCCTCAATCTCATGTGCTCCCTATGAGCACTGATTATTGATGCAAGCTGGTGTCAGAGACCAAAGTTGCTTTACTGCTGTATATTTTTATGTGCTTTATGAATGTATTGGGGCTTTTGGCTAGTCCTCTCTTAGGAGTTCTGCTAGGTGATTAGTTGAGGTGGTAGGCAGTATTTTTTGTTTAACCTGCAAAACCAGATTTCTGTAGAGCCAGGGCATGAAATATTTTACCCATCCTAGAAAGTATTCATAGGGTATGTTTTCAAGTTGGTGCTGTGCTTCAGTTGCTGGGGTTATGAATCCTCAGTTGGATTAGTTTCCTGTGTTACCATGAATGAGCAATGGATACACGTATCCTATAATCAGTCTGCAACAGAAAAATAAGCATTAACTATGCCATTATTGGTGCTACCTTGCCACAGTTCTTTAAGCCCATTCTATAGGGGAGAGAGTAGTTTGTCCCTTTCTCAGTATGATCCTGGACTTTCTCCTAATCAATTTTTAAAACTTGTTTTCTGCTTTAAAAGTATTAATGTTTTTTATAAGCATATGACCCTGAGCGATTCACTGGAGAATCAGTGACTTGAATACTCAGATAAGTAATCTCACTTGTGAATGCCTCTGTTACACCAAGTCTTTGAACAATCTGGCCCTTGTGCTATGGTACTTATCAAGCTGTTCAAGATGCAAAATGTGTACTTTAACCTTTTTTTTTTTAAATTTAATTGTACTTTAATATTTTTTAATAGATATTTTGTCTCCTCTTTTTGGGACTCTCATATCTTCTGCCCAGGTGAGTTTCCTGGTTGCCAAACTGATTTGACTTGCTTGTTTCACTTAATTAATCTTAAACTTGATAATCCGTGCGTCATGCAGCTGACATTAGAGGGAACTTTGTTAAAGTACAGAGGGAATTCTAAATGTTTTTGACTGTTCAACAGTTTCTTGAAACATAAAAATCATCCCATATTCTACTTTAGAATTTAGGCAATTATAAAACTACTTTCTCTTTCCTGTTTTTGAGGAAGAAAAAAACTGCCTTGCAATCTAGAAATGATTTTTTTGTTATTGTCTAGAAGCTTTTGCTATCTTTCATGGCATAAGCACATGGCAAAGAGATGATCCTTGAACCAAAGCTTTCACATTATGTGCACAGATTGCTTTTTTCCTGCATGTTAAATATTATGACCACTAACACATGCTTTTGATAAACTTAAGTTCATTCTTAAATTGTCAAGAGAAATAAAAGAAGCATGTGAAAGTAAAAAATACACTTGGTTTTAGAACATGCTGTATATGATGCAAACAGTATTGTGTGATGACTTTACGTAAGAGGTTTTTTTACTGTAGTTCACTGTTTTAACAAACTGCTTTTTCTTTTTAATGAGTCTGTTTTCTTTTTCTTATGTGCAAGTTTAACTACTGTATAGATGTGGGATGGCTTGTAAGACAGTATCCACAGGAATTCAGGTATGTTTATTTTATGAAGATGAAATGATGCAGATCCCAGATCATTCGGTTCATACAGGTTCCTGTTATAAGTGAATGATGAGCACTTCTTTGCAGTTGCAAATTATTGTTACCAATTGTATATGCATAGACTCTTGGTTTTCTTTCTACTCTCATTCCACAGTTGTAGTTCTCCATTGATTTCTTGGCTTTCTTTTCGAGACTGTGAAATGGTCAGAGTTCAGTAGAGCTGGTTTTTGATTTTTTTATTAGTTAACATTTGGGAGGTTCCATTGTGGGCCACAGTGACAGTGCAGTAGATGACCTATAAAGATGGAGTTAGAAGCTTTTTGCCCTTACAGTTTACTGAGTCAAGAGCCAGATTGTGCAAGAGAAAGGAGAGACTGTAGGAAGGGCAGAAGAAAATGACATGAAAAGTATCAGGATGATGGTGTGGTTATGACATAGTGAGTTGATGGATATTGTCATGAAAGCAGTTCTTGTTTGCTTGAAATTCCTTTCTGGTAATTGCAGCGTCCTGCAGATGAAGTGAGTGTATAATGTGCATTTTTCTATACTTTTTTTCTTCATTTTACTGGAAATGCAGTAGAACCAGAGCTCACAGAACGGGTAAGTTTGGAAGGGACCACAGTGGGTCGAGCAGCACCCTATTCCTTCTGGGATCCTCAATTACCTATGTCAGAAAATTGTCATCAGTATGCAGCTGGAAAACCAGTAGTGGGTGATAATCAGTGGGCCATACCAGGCTGGGAAGTTTCCTGGTGATGTGTCTTAACTGAGCCCCAGGTAGGCAACACTCCCTCCCTATGGATTGGATCCAACTGGCAGGATCAGAAGTTGAGTTCTAGGGAGTGAACACCAAACTACTGCCAGAATAGACCTAGCCCTCTCCTTTTCCCTATCATTCTTCCCATCTTCTCTCTAAGAGGACAGTTTCTAAATTGTCTTAGATCCCCACTGTGTATATCAGTGCTTTTGAGAAATATAATTTGTCCATTTCCAGCTATAGGGATAAGAATTCCTTTCAAGATCTTGTATTAATAGTTTCTGTTTTGGCATCTGCTTTATTCCATGCTTCCTGTTTCCCTTTTTTTTTCCATTAAAATTTTTTAGTGTCTTTTTCTTAGAGGTTCAGTTGTAGTTACTGCTATTTTGAGTTTGTTAAGGAGGTATATAAATTTCAGTGCCATCTTTCTGCTGGCTTATCCAATGTAGGGGCCAGAAGTCAGAGCTACGTGAAGAAATGGTTTATGCCAATTGCTAATTCACTTGATGTTTCAATGGTAATCTCCTTGTGTTTAAGGAAGAAGCCATTGCTGATAGTTCATGGTGAAAAGAGAGAATCCAAAGCTGAACTGCTTGCACAAGCACGACCTTATGAGAACATTAGCTTTTGTCAGGTAATTAACATCTGTATCATCCTTTGGTTGAGGTTAAGCCATCTGCTGCACTCAAAATCTTGTTATGAATGAAGAGAGACGCACCTTATGTGGTCAAGAGTTTTTTGTTAATTTTTAAGGAGTGTACTTACCAGGACTGTAGGAGCATGGTAACAATGATCCTGGACTTACGTATGTCCTTATGGTAGGCTATTGCCCACAAAAATGTTTACAGAAGAGCTGCTCTCTTTCTCCTGTTCATCTTGATGTCTAGCAGGAACCTTGGGTCCTTTTCTGCTGGCTGTTTCTGAAAATGCTGCCGGTAAGAGATGCAGAAATTTTGCTGGAGCAGTTCCAGCAAAAGTTGATTGCCATTTAAAGTCTAGCTTGTATAAAGTGGAGACTGCATTTAGAACTACTGAGGGGGGAAATAATGTGTTTTGTGATCTGTCCACTAGAGAGCAGTGAAATGAAATAAAATTAGAAAGCAGTGCATAATAGGAATTCTTAATGATCAACTTTTTAATTTTGTAGGCTAAACTGGATATTGCATTTGGAACTCACCACACGTAAGTAACACTATGAAGCAGAAAGGTCTGCCACAAAGCTGGGTTTCATAGAAATTGTTGAGTCTTAAAGAAAAATTTCCATAACCACTTCATGTTTAGAGATGGCAGGATTCTTCTAGTTTAAGGAAACAGTTCAGCTGTTGGGTAGATATGAGATGTGCAAGTTAAACAGTTGAAGTCTAACAGGTCTAAGACAGGTGAACTGCAGGTCCTGGCTCTTACCTTGCACCTTAATGCCAAAATTGTAATGCAGACTTGATCAGTCAGTTTTACCTCTTGGCAGGGCAGGCACAGCACTGATTTGTGTTGATAGGTGAAGGATCTGGAAATTAGTGAATTTGGAGGGTCTTCTCAAAGAAGAAACTTGAATTTAATATTGTAGAAGTGTCACAAAGGGAATTTTATAGATTAAATCTGTTCTTATCTGTAGCTTTCAGTCTTACATCTCAGCAAAGATATTTTGGTTTCAGTTTGGTTTTCAGTAAAAAATACTGCAGTATTTTTTAATCAGTTAACCTTTTGCATAACTTGTTTTATGAAACATGACATTACATTAAAACATCGATCTGAAATGCCAGTGTTTCTGACAGAAAGCATACTGACAAACTCATTGCCTGTTTGGAGAAAAACATGCAGATAAAGGGAAGAAATGAGCTTTCTAAAAAGGAGTCTTGTTTCACTCAGGTTTGGTGGGGGACATAGAATGAATTGAAGTTGTCTTTCAAATAGATAAATAAGCTAAAGCTTTAAAAATTTCACTTAAGCAGTATAAACAGCAACTCTCATTCTTTGTGTGTTCAACTTTAGATTTTTTTTCTTCAATTACACTTTGGCATAAATAAGTGATAAGGATACTAAATGCTGCAGTTCTTTAACCCTGTATTTTAAAGGGTTATTCTGGGTAGTGTGTTTCTGAATGTATGTTCTGCTGCAGGTGGAAAGCAAGTGATTAACAGAGTAGTAAATTGAATCCTGGTGGGTAATAAAACAACTTTTTTAAGGGAGGCACTTAACAGATTTCACCCCATCAAATATAAAGAGTTAAATTCATGTAATTCTGGTTGTATGATGTTAAACTTATATTACGTTTCAGTGACTTTTTTTGAGATTAGTGGTGTTTCAGTCAGTTATCACTTTTATATACCTTAATCTTGCACTTTATTTTGCTGTAAAATACTTATTTTACTGTCAACTCCAACTGTGCTTAGATCAAGGCATAAGACAGATGTGGGGAACTATTTTATGGTTACAGGGTCTTGCATATTGTGCAGGCTGCCGTTAGCATAGGAAAGTGTGTGCAGGTAACATTAAAAGCAGAATTTACTGAATAAATACTTGCCTAAGTTCAAACCTGATACAATTTGCATCTTGTCATGGGGCAGCAATGAGAATAAGAATGTTTTTCCTTATGGCTTCTATTCTTGAGCATGGGTTTCTGTGGAAACCATTTCATCCCTTGGGACCATATGGATATGGTGTCTACATAACTATTGAAAACTTGTATATGAAAATTTGAGCACTTATGTTACCAAGAAATACAGATGTTTATTTTAAACTCAGTTACTAGTTTTAAAACTTCTTTATGCAGTAGCTTGAGTTTAGAGTTATGGTAGATAAATAGCTTTTTTTGACATTCCAGTGATTAGCTACCTACGCACCTTCTTTTAAAATAAAAGTTCTCAGTTTAAGAGCAAGGAACTAGGTTTCAGTTAATTCAGCTGTAAGTAAAGGTCTTTTAGTGTTCCTAAATTCTCTTTCTAACTATCTGCAAAGGGATAAGTTTGTCTGAAGAACTTTGCAAATATAGGAAGTGTTCTGCAAGTATTGATTTTGCTGTGGGTGTTGAATGAAATGTTAAGCTGTATTCTAGAATAAAATATATGAGGACATTCTAATGATTGCCATGTGAGCTTGGCCTGTGCATGGATTGAAGTCTAAGTGCTTGCATGGTGCAGAACAAATTTTTCAAAAAACATTACCTTGAAGCTTTTTAGTGAGTTGTTAATTTATCTCCTATTCTGTGTACTTAAAATAGATGAAGAGTTCTGTATCTTTTTTTAAAGGAAAATGATGTTGTTGTTATATGAAGAAGGTCTTCGAGTTGTGATTCATACATCCAATCTAATTGCTGAAGATTGGCACCAGAAAACTCAGGGGTAAGCAACAAGCTCTAGCAGGTGTATGTTTACGACTTTCTGTAGATATTTGCTACAGCTGAAGATGGGATACTAGGTCAGATGATCTAGTGCTAAAGTCTTACACTCCTAAGATAGAGCTGTTCTAAAGAAAAAAATAAAAAATTGAACCTAGAATGCTGGTAGCTGTCTGAACCTGAACTCTACTTGCTTCCTGTTGTAAACAAAATTACATACCCAGTTGGCTGTTAGCTTAAACCTGGTCTGACTGATATAAAATTTTATTATGCCATACTGTTTTTTCCTGAAAAAAACTTCTTAGCTGTAAAATACTCTTTATATTGAAGCAGCTATTTAAAAATTATCTTAATACTTCAAGAATTCTATGAATGTGCAGATGTTCTGCAGAATGTAACCTTATAAATGTTAGGCACTACTGATTCCATAATACAGTAGATAACCTAGTATCTACCCAATATTCTTTCCTTGGAAGGAATTTTCTTCCTGTTTTATTTTCTTTGCAGAAGTTTTTAAACTTACTGACCAACCTGGGACATAGTTTTGTTTAGAGCACTACAAATAGGACTAATAAATAAATATAAGTAAATATAGTAATATAAAGCTCCTCAGCCTCTTGTTTTTTTGACTGGTTTTGTGGGAGCATTATTTTAGTTAGATCACTTCAGTAAATCAGGGTATAAAATTTCTTCAAACTAATTGAAAATGACTTTTCAGAAGTTACCATCACTTTGGCATCCATTTTGCTACCATTAAATATGGCAGGGTTTTTGAGGCTTTTTGCTTGTCTGAGACAAGCTCTGATGGAGGTTTTAAGTGGCAAAAATAGCCACTGATTTTTTTTTTTGCCTTTAAATCTTAGAGGCATCTTTAGTATCTTGTGGCAGTTAGCTTCTTAGAAATCTAAGAAAGCATGAAAATACCTGCTTGGGATACTTAACAAGTTCCCCTACTTGACAAATATGAAAAATATTTTTCTTTTTAGCTTTTGCATACTGCAGTGTTGTGCAGTATCACCTATATATGGTGGTTCACTGCCTTCTCTGTTTTATCGATTTCTGAATTTCAAAGGATAATGTCAACACATTGTAAAGTTGATAATGCAGAACCTTTGGTTTCCATGGCTCCAATAGTGTGTGACTGGAAAGAAATGCTAAATGTTTTCTCTGTGTAGTGCCCATCTTATTTTATTCTGATGGAAGTTCTGGGAAGCCAGCTTATCATTGTGGGCTGCTCTTCAAACTATGCAAAACTTTCACATGCTTTAATTGGTGATTTTCTTTATAATTGCACGAATCAAGAGTTTAGCACAATGCATTGCAGTGTTCTATTCCTACAGAAAATGTTGATTAAAGGACTCTTGAAAGTATTAGTTTTCTGGTTTTGAGTATCAGATGGTGATTCTGTAGCTGTAAAGGCAAGTCATCTATAGTGAATATCACAGTAAATCTCTCTAGTATTTGTTTAGGACCTTCAGATGTACTTTAATCACTTACTAAAACCATATGTTAATGTGTGGTGTCCTTGTTTATGTTTGTTGTTGTTGTTTGTTTGTTTTTGGTTTTGGTTTGTTTGTTTTTTTTTTTTTTTTAGAATATGGCTAAGCCCTTTATATCCAAGGCTGCCTAAGGGAGAAACAGGTTCTTCTGGTGAATCTGAAACTAATTTTAAATCTGACCTTATAAGTTACTTGATGGCTTACAATTCTCCTATACTCAAGGAATGGATAGATCTGATTCAAGAACATGACTTATCAGAGACAAGGTATATATTGTGTTCTTAGTAACTTGCATGTGTGGGGTTTTTTTTCCTAAAAATTGAATATCTCTGTTAGGATCTATTAGACCTTGAGTTTGTTTTGTAAGCTTACCTTGTTTCAGACTTCAGTGTTCAAATATGACTCTAACTTCACACAGTTTTTTAAATATGTCTTGTATAGATTATGTCAAGTTGACCAACTTCTAGTTTTATAAGCATGAATTTTAAAGGAAGAAAGAAAGAAAGGTCCACCAGCAGTAACTTTACAGAAGGTAACTGTAAAGTAATAAGGATTTGGTTTCATTTAAGACAGTCTGGCTTAAATATTTACTCCAATGAAATTACCAGTGGAAAACACTGTGTGGTATTTGGTTCATCATGTAAAAACAATCATATATGTAAAGGTTACTGTAATGGGGAGAGTAAGAAGAGGCTTCTGAATTGTAAGGCGAAGTTCAATCCACATACATATATAGAGAATTTTGCCTGTAACAGGCATGAGTTGGGTCTGGTGTGCAATGTTGTGTCTACTTGGTCTTGAAATAGTCTTCTCTAATATCACATTGCTGATACTACATAAAATAATTCAGGTTGCTCAGATTTACTTCTAATAGATATATCTTGCAGTTCCACTGAAATATGGGTCCTTAGTTCAGAAAGTGTGTCTTGATGACTTAATTGCAGTTTTATAAGCAGATAAAAATTGTTGAAAAGTAAAGCTGAAAATGGTCATAAACTGCAGTGAAAATAGAGACTGAAACCTTGTCTAGTTCATACATGAAAAATTGCTTTTTTCTTTACATGGAGTCATACAAGATTGAAGGGGGGTGAAGAAAAAAGTATGTACTTTATAATCAGGAGAGCTAACAGCCTGAGCTGCTGCTCTGATTAAATGGATCATCTCCATGAGCTTGGCCAGATGAGCTGAGCCCTAGCTGATGTGAGTTTATGCACACTCTAGGAAGGAGTCACTTGTTAGAGTAAGGATCGACTCCTTGCCCTATGAAATATGTAGGGGACATTCATTCATGGATAAAGCTAGGCATGAGATGCAGTAGGGAACAACTTCTTAAAGCCTATGTTTGTTGTGACTTTGGGCAGATCTCTTCCCTGTTTTCAGGGTAAAGTCAAACAGGTTACTAAACCATTATTAGGAAGATGGTTGAAAGAGCTGTACTTAGCATCTGAACTATTGGGTGCCCAAATGACAACTCATAGCTGAATCTGCTGATTTGGATGTAGCAGTAGACTGGCTTTTCTCAAAATTATGTGCCCAGTTATGTGTCAAATGAGCTGTTTGTGTTTATTGCTAACATTGTCTGTCTTCTGCATTTTTATACAAAGAAGTAGGTGTAGTTGTTGTCTATGCTGTTAACATCCTGGTGGTGCATGACAGCCACACAGGATGCTAATAATAATTATACAGCTGAAAATATACTTTTCTTTGTATTGTAAATTCTGTGAGAAAGATTAAATATTTCTGGTTGCACTTTTATGTTCAATCTTGCTGATAGGTTTTACTTTAATACCTTGCTACTTCACCAAACCAAAACACTCCAGATCTACAAATAACTTCAGGATTTTTTGTTTCTTTCTGTAGAGTGTATCTTCTTGGTTCTACTCCTGGACGGTATCAAGGCAGTGATAAAGAGAAATGGGGTCATCTTAGGCTCAGAAAGGTACCAAAACTGTAACCTTTTTTGTTAATATCCTTTAAAATGTAAATAGAATTTTGGAGAGCACGCTTGAGTTCCTTTCCAGCTGTCATCTTCAGTCTTTTAATACATTGTTACAGTTTAAGTTAGCAATAACATACATAAGCTTGCAACTTATGACAATGTAGACTTTGCACATTGTGTTCCTGGGAGTTATTTTCTGGTCAGCTTGTGGTCTTGTCATGTGCTTACAGATACCGGAGGAGTCAGTGTAACTCAAACGAATTCCTGTCAGCTGTTAGTGTTTCTAGCAAAAGTGACACTGTCAAAATCCAGTCTTCTGTGACTGAGATCCAAATGTAGCCTTTTTCAAAAGCACTAACTGAGGAAAGATTTGTTGACATAGAGACTTGTCTGCACATAGGGAGTAGGCATGTTTTATTACTTGAACGTTAAGGTTTATTGCAGTTTCTTTTTCTCTAATGAGCTGGCAATAAACCAATCAAATAAAAAACCAGTTTATACATAGCGAATGTCATCAGTTCAGTCAAGATTTTAGTTATGTTCCAATACATTACTAGGATCTTGATTTTTTTTTTTCTATTGCATTTTTATATCAACTAAATAATTAGAAACATGGACTTTTTTTTTACATCCACTCTGTCCCCTATTTTGTTTTTTTGCTGGATTTGGGGTGTTTTGGGGGTTTTTTGGTAATGTCAGTATACGTGACATCAAGCCTGTTGGCAACAGACAGGGTGGATATACTTGTCTCAAAAGGTAAAAAGGACCTATGCTCAGGACTTAGCAGGGCTCACTGAAAGAGCTTTAAACTAGATTTGAATGGGTGAAAGAATAAAACCAGGCTCACTAAAAATAAGCCTGGAGCAGCACACCAGTGTTTGAGGGACACTGTGCTAACAAGGTCCTTCAGTCTGCTGTCTCAGTGGAGGTAGGGGATGGACATTCGTTTAGCAGCAAAGACACAAGACTTATTAGTGTGTCAGAAATCATGAAAGTGCCTGAGAATGGTCATGTAGGAATTAGAGCTTCTCTCTCCAAAAAGGTGGCATCTGCACCAATGCACACAGCATGGGCAACAAACAGAAGGGAAAGGAAGCCATTGTGCAGCAGGAAAACTGTGACATAGTTGCCATCACAGAAGCATGGTGGGATGGCTCACACAGTTGGAGTGCTGCAATGGATGGCTATAAACCCTTCAGAAAGGGTAGGCAAGGAAGGAGAGGCCATTGGGTCATCACAGGTAGCCCTGTATGTTAGAGTTTTGATTGTCTAGAAGTTCAACAAGGCCAAGGTCCTGCACTTGAGTCACAACAACCCCATGCAGTGCTACAGGCTTGGAGCAGAGGCTGGAAAGCTGCCTGGTGGAAAAGGACCTGGGGTTGCTGGTCAACAGCCAGCTGAACATGAGCCAGAAGTGTGCCCAGGTGGCCAAGAAGGCCAATGGCACCCTGGCCTCTACCAGAAGCAGTGTGGTCAGTGCAACCAGGGTAGTGACAGTCCCTCTGTGCTTGGCACTGAAGTCACACCTCAAATCCTGTGTTCAGTTCTGGGCCCCTCATTACAAGAGGGGTCATTGAGATGCTGGAGCATGTCCAGAGAAGGGCAATGGAGCTGGTGAAAGGTCTGGAGCACGGTTCTAATGAGGAGCAGCTGGGGGCATTTAGCCTTGAGAAAAGGAAGCTCAGGGAAGACCTTACTGCTCTCCACAACTACTTGGAAGGAGGTTGTAGCAAGGTGGGGGTCATATCTTATCCCAAATAACAAGCAATAGAAAAAGAGGAAATAGCCTCAAGTTGCACCAGGTGAGGTTTAGATTGGATATTTGGAAAAATTTCTTCACCAAAAGGGCTGGCATTGGAACAGGCTGCCCAGGGAAGTGGTGGTGTCACCCCTTGGAGGTATTTAACAGACATGTCGATGTGGCACTCAGGGATATGGTTTAGTGATGGACTTGACAGTGTTGTGTTAATGGTTGGACTCTACTGTCTTAGAGGTCTGTACCAACCTAAATAATTCTGTGATTATTTAGATAATCCATAATGGTAAATCTTCATACAAGATTGCATATCTCTTGTAGGAACCCTTCTTGTTTGTTGTGGTTTGATTTTCTTTATCGTTGTGTTTTTTGGTTGTTTTTGTGTTTTAAAATTAGATTATGTATTTCACGTCATCTGTTAAAGGCCTCTGATAATTGGAGAGTTTTCAACCTGCACCTCCTGCTAAAGTGGCATTATTTCGAATACTGTCATGACTTTTACATGGAACTCTAATCCTGTCCATGGCAAACTTCTGTGACATACAAAATGTTCATGTATCACATGGCTTTTGACACTAAGTTACTCTTTTAGACTTCCCATTGCTTGTTAAGAGCTTGTCCTTTCTAATACATGTGTTGTCTTCCATGTTTTTTGCCTAGTTAAACACAAAATGAGAACAAAATAAAACAGATAAAACCTGTAAAGGTGGTCTTGTGGCAAATGTTTCTGTGATTTAAAAAGGTTGATATTTTAAGTACCAGTGCAGACAGACCTGATGATACTACACTCATGGCTAAAGCCATTTAGTTATGTGTTCTCTCTAGAGGGGTCAAGGTAGCCACTACATACAATTTAATATGTGCCTATATCCATCTGGTTTTAATGTGACTTTAAATTCCATTCTCAGCTAAAGAACTCTACTAAAAGGATTATTTCAATTTTGTCTTCAGTTGTTCTTTTTTCTCTTCTTATTGTAGGCTTCTATTGTAGCTGGGGCTACAATATGAGAGGAATTTTATGGCCAACAACCACCAAATATAAAAAATATTTAGTTAAGTTGTTGTGACTTCTGAAGCTAATGTTTCATGTTTCTAGAAAGAGTTTCTAATATTCTTTTCACCTGTTATTTAATGGTTGGCTTTGGTGCTTTTGGATAAAACTTGTGATGTTTAATCTTTTCTTGAAGTGGGTTATTTGGAAAGCCTGATAATTTTTTTTATTGCAAAGTTAAATGTGTAGTATGAATGTTAATCTCCTTCATTATCAGAAGTGAATTATAGAGGATTTATTATATCAGAAGTGATATCAAACCAATAAAGGTATTCTTTGCCTGTTGAAGTCTGTGTTTCAATTCCCCTCACTAGCTTTTGAAGGAGCATGCTTTGTCGATACCAGCACAGGAATCCTGGCCTCTCGTTGGACAGTTCTCAAGCATTGGTTCAATGGGAGCTGATGGGTCCAAATGGCTGTGCTCTGAGTTCCAGGAGAGTCTGGTGGCTGCAGGCAGCGGTGTGACACCTTTCCTTAAATGTGATGTCCCAATTCATTTGGTATGTCCTTTAGATGCTGGTGACCTTTATTTAACACTTATTATTTGGTTTTGAAATCTTAGTCATTGGGGTTTTTTTAACTTTTGAAAGACAGTAATGGGGTTTTCATCCTGAAATCCTAAGTGTGCCACTTGCTGATACTTAATTGTGTATGGTATACTATAAAAATGTATTATGACTTCCATCTGCATGACACTAGAGTATATATAATCTAATCAAAACTGTCTTCTTACTCTATAACTTGTCTTCTGTTAGGTTTTGTAGGTGCAGCTATTTCTGCTACTGAGATGTAACTGAACCCTTAGTCATTAATACCTTTGGTTATTAGCACAGTTAAATGGAGGAGCAGAAAGAAGTTTGTGGCCTTTACCATGTGCTAGTTGCTCCTGCGTACTCATATTTGAGATATGAGACTAAAATCTCATAAAATAATGTTAAGGCTAGCTTTGACCACTTAACAGTGGTTGAAGCAGTGTTGAGTCTTGTTAGCTCTGTAAGAGCAGTAAAAGTATTAGACTTTGTTACTTGCATGCGTGTAGTTTTAAGCTGCAGTGTAATTTTATTCATTTTGACAAGTGAAGCTTTTAATGTGTTTTTTCCTCAGGTTTTCTTTGAAGTGTCCTTTGTTTGAAAATTGGCAGCTTGCATATTTAGAGCTGTTATTAAAGTTACTTTTTTTTCCCATGAAGGTTTATCCTACTGTGAACAATGTGAGGCAGAGTCTGGAAGGGTATCCTGGTAAGCAGATGAATCCCCATTTATTAACTTTTTGTGGTCGTAATGTCCTGCAAAATCACTTTAATGGTTGATGTTGAATGAACACGAAGTTGTCATCTTGCTGAGAACATGATAGAATAGGTGGCAGTACAATCCTTTAAATTTCTTTTACTGGAGTTGTAGTTCCAGCTCTCCTATTGTGATTGAATAGAAGAGGCTTTATGGGCATTGGTAGGTAATGTTTAAGTCTGTCTAGCCATGTTCATACATCACTGTGTATTAGAACAACAGCTCTTGCCCGCTGTTCTTACTCCAATCATACTTTCATTTTGGCAGAAAATTCAGGTTTGAGTGTGCCATTTTCTTCTGGTTTGTTTGCAATGTCGTTCTGCACATCAAATACAACAGAGGCTAAGATGTTTTGCTACTCATTGGTCATTTTTTTAATATTGTAATATAGAGCTGTTCTGTTCAGTCTTCCGATGTTAATATTCACGAAGTCTGGGGACCTATAGGCTTGCCAGCCTCACTTTGATCCTGGGGAAAGGTGATGGAGCAAAGAATACTGGAAAATATTTCCAAACATATGATGGACCAAGAAGGTGATCCGGAATAGTCAGCATGCATTTTTGAAAGGATAAATTATGCTTAATTAACCTGATGTCCTTTTATAAAGGGATGAGTGGCTTGATGAATGAGGAGTGTACTAGATGTTGTTTATCTTAACTTTTTCATCACTGTCTGCTAACATCATTACAACAACGTGATTAAGTACAGGCTGGATGAGTGGAACATGGGGCAGATTGGAACTGGCTGAACTGCCAGGCCTCACTGACTGTGATCAATGGCACAAAGGCCAGCAGGGGGTCAGCCGCTAGTGGTGGAATGTGCCAAGCACTGATATTGGGGTCGTGCATTAATATCTTCATTAATGACCTGGATGGTGGGGCTGAGTACACCCTTGGTGAGCTTGCAAATGATGCAAACTCAGGAGGAGTGGTTGATGTATCGGATGATTGTGCAGCCATTCAGAGGGGCTGTGCAGGCTGGAGAAATGGGCAGACAGAAACCTCATGCATTTCAACATAGGGCAATGCAAAGTACTATGCTGGGGCAAGAGTAACCCCAGGCACCAGTGCACACTGGGGGTTGACCTGGGGAAAGCAGTTTTGCAGAAAAAGACCAGGGATGGTCACTAAGCTGAAGGTGTACCCTTGTAGCAAGAAGGCCGATAGCATCCTGGGCTGTGTTAGGAAGTGCATTGCCAGCGAGACCAAATCTGGAGTGCTGTGTCCAGTGTTGACTTCTCAGTACAATACAGACACAGACATACTGAACCAAGTACAGCAAAAAGCCACAAAGATGAATAAGAGATTGGAACATCAGTCATACAAGGGGAGACTGAGAGAGCTGGATGATTCTTCATGCTGGAGAAGAGAACTTTCCTGGGAGGTCTTATCAACATGTATAAATACCTGATAGGAGGATGCAAAGTAGAGGCAGACTCTTTGCATGGTGACTAGGGAAAGAACAAAAAGCAATGGACATAGACAGAAATCTCCTGTATCTCAATTCATCCTTACAGCAGAAATGTTTTCTGATGTTTAAATGAAACAGGTTGCTTGTAGAGGCTGTAGAGTCTATGTTTTTGAAGATACTCAAAACTTGACAGGACACTGTACTGAACAATGTGCTCTGTTCAACACTACTTTGAGCAGGGGGTTATTCTAGATGATCTCTAGAGGGTGCTTCCACTTTCAATGATTCAGTGATTTTTGACATTGTTGAATCGTTAAATGCACGTTCCAGTTCCAAGCTGGATGCTTGTAAGTTCCTGTGAAGTATGAAGTAGAGTAGCTGTTGAATTCTTCTAACAGCCGGTGTATTTTGAACCTGGGGGAAGCAGGAGTTGTTTCAGCTCTTTTTCTTTCCTCTGAAAAGAGGAAAGTGTTTGGACATATATAGAAACTGCAGCCAGAGAATTTGTAGGTATCTGACTCCTGCAGGTAGATTAGGGTGTCTTGAAATACGTCTGGTTGTCTACAGCTCAGTGACTTCTTACTGTAATTTCTTTCATATTATGAAATAACTTGGTGAATTGCACAACTCTATGTTTGTGCAGTTAAACAGCTCTGTGGGCTTCTGCAGTTAGTGCATTCCTGAGAGTACTGAAGATTTTGTGATGGGTCATTATGGTGTGTTCTAGGACATGTTGAATGCAGTAGGCTTTGTATCGTGCTTTTAAAATACACAGCACTAATATAACTCAGTATGCCTGGATGATTCTTCTTTATTAAACCTGTTTCAAGAAATCACAACAGGCATTAGCCAAAGGCCAAATCAATACAAATACAATTTCATCAGAGAAGTTCTTGCTTTTTAAAATAATGTTGTTTGGGTGTTGGTAGGTTCTTTTTTCTTCTGAGAGCTGCTTGTTTTATTCCTTCTAGTTTGTATGATTCTAATCTGTTGATATCAAGTCCTATCCTAACAGAAAACTACCTGTAATTCCATAGCCTCTATGCAGTTTCTCTTTTTCTTAGTGTAAATGTGCTGTGTAGTGTTTAGGAAGTTGCTAAATTATGAGAATGGAAAAAAAAACCAAACCAAAATATATACCATTTTATACTAATGGAGCATTTAAGGACTTCTGAAAGTAACTCATGAGGGTAGTACAGATAGCTTGTTCCCCAACATGCTTGCTGCTTTTAGAATGTCTTTCAAAAAATAAATGTACATGTTCTGTTTTGTTCCTTAAGCTGGTGGCTCACTTCCATACAGTATACAGACAGCACAGAAACAGCTGTGGTTGCATTCCTATTTTCAGTAAGTAGAACTCAATTCTTTGTTTTGTTTTTTTTTTTAAGACTGTATGTTTAAACTGACAATGCTGTAATGTTTGAGTGTTAAAAGCAAATTAAGTGGAAGTGGTTACAAACATGATATTTTTAAATTCCTTAAAATAAAAGCCTTTAGTTCCTTATCTGCTGGGTCTTATCTCCAAAACATAGTAGAAAACATGCTATTTACCTGTAAAAAATTATACAGAATACCATTGCTAATGCATTTAGGATTTTGTAAACTTTCATCTAAGTTTTCTTCTTTGAACTGGAATAAAATACTTCTCTCTTTTATTTTTTTAATTTACAGTTGTATTTCACTTTCCCCACTTGTGCCTCTGTATTAATAGGATTTCAGCTGAGCCACAGCAGGGCTAGGAAGGCTTTTTTTGTGTTGTTATTGAGTGTTTTTTATCTTCTGTGTACAGCAGTCCTGCTGCAAAAATTCTCATTACCTTCTGGTAATATCTTTTGTTAAAGGTGCCTGACATTTTCTATTAAGAACTTCTTTCCATGTGCTGCTAGTTTTGCCAAATTCTAACAGTCTGACATTCCATGCCAGATGTCTCCCTCAGCCTGAATCTTTAATAACTTAAACATGTTTTGAGAACAATGGGGAAAAGTTGTTTTGCAAAGATCAAAAAACTATTAATACATCCTGTAACCTCTTACAAGACCACAACATCCCATTCCTTTCATCAGAAACTTTTAACTCTTCCAGGTGGAAGTTGCTCTGGTAAGATAATTTACTAAGAAAAGAGTATGCTAAGATGCAATATATTAAGGGGACTGAAACAGAATTGCTGGTTGCAGAAGGCATCCCTAATTCTGGAGTGAATGTGATTGCTGCTGTGAGCTTTGCTGGTTAATGTCCAAGGAATGGAACTCAGACAAAAAGCATGTGAGGCTTTGTCTCCTGCTTTTAAAGTGTTCCCTCTGAGCACATTCAGCAAAGGAAGAAAGCTACAATCACCTTCAAATTTTCAAGCTTGTTCAGTCATGATTCAAAAGGTGAGGAAATCATAAGTCTGGAGGTGTTTGTGCAGTCTTAATTTAGTTTCTGTAGTTATATACCTCGTGAGAATCTTACTGGAAGAAAGATGTAACCTTTTTTTGATTAGTCTCTTATTTAATGCGCAGAATGCTACTTTAGTAATGAGATTATTAATTGATTAATTCCTGTTCAGTGAGAAAATACCCACATACCTGTCACATTGGACATACCAGGGTCCTGCTCTGGCAGCAAAAGGGCAAAAGTGATGGGCAACAGATGAAGCAAAGTTCATTTGTTGAATTGGTTGCAGATGACAAGTGGCCCTGCATAACTGCTCTGTAGTAATTACCCTGATGCAGACCCTTACCAGTAATATACAACACCAGCCCTGGAGGAGAGCCTGCATGTGAGCTCTTAACATAGAGCAGGTGACATACAGCAGCTTCTTACCCATGGAATCTGGGACATATGGAAAATAGTAGGTTTTCAATAGTATTAAATAGAAGATAAGATGTTTTAAAGACTTGCCATAGTATAAAACTTTGAGCAGTAAAGGGATTAGAGAAATTTCTCTTTACTTCACTGGAAAATAGTACAAAACCAACAGGAAACTAGGGATTCTACCAGAGCAGAAAGGAAAAAATACTTTCCTACTTACAGGTTAGGGGAAGAAATAGCTCTGCTTTACAAGGAGGGAGAGATTAATGGAGTTGGAAAAGTGTGGAGTTCCATAGGGGAAGAGAAGTTTAGTTAGCTGGTTCTATATCATATATCATATCTTAGTTTGTTCTTCAGAAACAGACTTCAGTGTGGCTTGCATCAAAATATAAAGATTTCTAGTTAGTGTCAAATGTGTGGAGTGTGTCAGTTCTTGCCCTTTAGGAATACAGGACCAGTTCTTAGAAAGGGTTTTCTTTCTTTCATCAGGGGAGATAGGGTTGTTGAAGTTCATGGTCTTGACCCATAGTCTTGACCCATGAACTATAAAACCTCTTGACTTTAAATTCACTAACTGTGTTAGTCGTGAAAGTCAACTTAGGTAAATAATTCCAGCCCTTCCAAGTTAATCTTCTCAGGCTTTTAGATGAACACAGGGCACTTAAGAGGTTTTTCAGAGCTGATTAATTCTTTTCAATTTCCATTTTAGAAGAGAATGATAAGTTAGGCAAAGAGGATTGTGATAACCAAAACTAGAGACTATTATATTCTAAACTGAGGAAAGAAAAGTCTCTGGGTGGAAGATGGTGTATTAGAAGCCTTCTTCCTGAATTTGAGTGAGGACTAACAGCTGTTAGTGGAAAGTGCTTCTAAATGCTGTGATTACATACCTTCAGTTATATACATTTATTTACTGCTTGTTTATAGTTTAGTTCTGTAATACTGATGCTGAATTAATCCAGCAATGACTTGTTGTTTTAAACTAGTTTTTATATATACATGTAGATATGATCTCTACTTTCTTAAGCTTTCAAATTTCTCAGCAGCTTAGGGGTACAGAAAGGGAAGAGGAAGAGTAGTGTCATCTGTCTATCAGTTGCTCTCTGCCTCTATGTCATGGATAATAAATTGTAATAAACTTGGAGAATTTTATGAGGTTTAGTTTGGTGCCAAACTTGTGTGCTCAAAGTTATAACCATTGATAGCCTTCAAAGAAGAAATATTGGCCAGAAGTTTGGACTTACTTTCTTAAGTGCGAGCTGGAATGGAGGAATGGAAAAACTTGTTAGGAGAATCTGTCACACTGAGGAGAATATCTGTCTGAATGGGTTGTAAGGGAAAAAAAAAATCCTGCCCTTCTGACTACTAGTAAAATTGGAATTCAGGATTAAGAATTCTGTTAAATAAGGTATTTTCAACTTTTGTCTGGGGGAATAAGTATTGAATGTGAGAAATATAGGTAGTGTTTCTGGAAACATGACACTGTAGTATGGTATTTCTTAAACCTTAAAATAAAACCATACATGAAAAGAATTCCTATTGTTTTTCTAGCAAATGGTCAGCAGAAGTCTCAGGTCGAACTCGTGCTATACCTCACATTAAGACATACATGAGACTCTCTCCTGACTTCCAGAAGATTGCATGGTTCTTAGTAACAAGGTAAACAACTAATCAATACATCTCTCACTTAAGAACTTTATATATGACTTTTTTTGTCAACTGCAAGCCCAGGTGAGTTAACTGCCATAATCTCATAATACTTCAAATAGTGATATGAATTTTTATCCATATTTAATAGAGTTTTTTAATGACAACAGAATTGCGTATATTTTTTGACTCTCAACTTGATCTACTTCATAGCAGATACTAATGAAGGATTAACTACAGCATAGTGCTGAATAACAAATTGAAACAAAAATACTTCTTTGATAAATACTTGTTTTCATAAGTATATCAAAGAACAAAATGCCAGGAGCAAAAGATACTGTTTAACACTCTGTACTAGAACGTAAAATGCAAAGCCACACTGTACTAAGTGTAACTAGTAATAACTGAGCTAACCTTTAATCTTCCTGAGTCAAATTGAAGCTATTTACAAATACGAAATTCCTTTCTGAAATGTGCAGAGAAGATTCAAAAAGCTGAATTTGTCTTGTAGATCTGTATGACACAAATAGGCTTGTATAATTATTCACATGTGTTGTATGAATGCTCTTTTGCATATTGTCTCTGCTGCTCCCACTGTGCTGTAAAAATAGCAATAAGGAATAACACCCAAGTCACTTTTTGTGAAAAGACTATTCTGATGGAATTTAAGTTCTGCTAGAAGAGCGTTGCTACAGATATTATTTAAACATTTTCTGCTTCACTGATATGCTTTGTTTCTCTTCATAGTGCCAATCTATCTAAAGCAGCTTGGGGAGCTCTGGAGAAAAATGGCAGCCAACTGATGATCCGTTCTTATGAACTTGGAGTTCTTTTCTTGCCTTCAGCATTTGTAAGTTCATAGTTCAAGTACAAATCCTGGAATATGACAAAAATCTGCAAATATTTATGAATACAAGCGTGACTGAGTAATCTAATCAGTGGGTTCTGTGTTTCTAAGTTAGAGAGCTAATAGGAAATGGAGTTTATACGAGGCATTTATAGTCTGTTTTTCTACACAGCAGATATGGATTTGGTGTTGCTGTGACTTTTGTCATGATACTGAAAGGCAATAATGTTTATAAATTGTAACATATACCCTAAATATTGCTGGAAAGGATGATCAAACCTTTTTCATACTTTTTTAAAATAGGCTGTACGTGCATATTCACACTGAAGTGAGGTCGTGACTTGAAAAACAATTCCTAATGTCGCACTGATTGCTGTTCTTGCTTGTTCCTGAAATGCATTTGCAAAGTCATATGACTGTCTCTTAAAACATTAGGTTCCTTATTGAACTATACTTGCTGGTTTTTAGCCCTCCACAGAATCCTGTGGTAATGAGTCTTGTGAGTTAGTTGTACGTTATATTTAAGATAAAAAGCTTCCCTTTTATGCTTCGGTTGAGTTTTGTCTTGCTTAGATCCACTACCTGATAGTGAGATGTGAGATTTTGCTTCCTGTGGCTGATTCCTCCTTCTCTCTGGTGAACCTGTTAGTAACAACATGTTATCATCGACAGATAGTCTGTGATCAGAAACCACTCAAACTCCTTCCTGTGTGAAATTTCTTTCCCGGAGAAAAGATTGCAAGTTTCTCTGAAACAGCATTTGTTTGCTAAAAGTTCTTAGAAATATTTTTCTGATGAAGAATGTATCTTTCCTAGATAATGTTTGCGGATGATCACGTAATGTTCTGTCATTTCTGCTGATTAGTAGTGTACTCCCAAATGAATATTTACTAATGTTATGACATTGTAAAAATGTTTGCTTACCATAACTGGATAATTGTAATCTCCTAAGATTGCAATATTAAGATTGATAGTTTCTGACTGCAGCTAAAGAACTCCTTTATCTCACTCTTGACATTTATGATGAGTTTGCATAGTACTGAGGTTTCTGATATTGTGAACCTTAGCGACATTATTTTCCAGCATGGTTTATGTGGAAGACAACTTTTAGAGAAAATGTGTTTATCAGAGTGAAACAAGAAAAATCCTGTAGCTTCTTACAGTAGGAAGCATTGGGTTTTATATCTCTGAGCTCTAAAAAAAGCAGACATCACTTGCATAAACAACTAGTAATAACAGAAAAATAAAACATTGAAGCAGTTAGTTACTTATTATTAAGTTAATATAATTAATCCAATTTCTATACATACAGTGGATCAGAACAACAATAAAAGTTATTTACACAAACCTGGCCAAGATCTTGATCTCACCGAGTAGTTGTAGGGTGAGTTCAGATTTGCAGAAAGGATGCTGACACTCTTGCGGTTGTGATAATCATTTTTGTTTGTTCAAGGCCTCTCTTCCTAAAACCTACAACTGCTACAGGCTTAGGCTCTCAACCTGGAGAGAATAATATATGGTGAAGCTTTGCTGCAACTCAAGATCATGTTTTGGTGACAAGTAAGTTGCTCTACTTCTCTGACTCAGCAGATAAGTGTATTAGATAATTAACCGCCCGATAAGATAGGTTGGAATCTGGCATCTCAAACATGTCAAAGCAATAGATTACCTTAACATGTGAAACTGCATCATTTGGCCCTACCACAAGAGTAACCTGTCCATGGCTGTCTTTACTCTCTTAATTGTACTGGCATCGGTGCTTAGTGGACACCTTGTGCTTTAAACCAGCTCAGTCTGGCCAAAACCAAATTGCACAAGTTTCCGTGAACCAGCTGAACATGATCAGATGAGTGCTAATGTAAGGAAGAACTAGGAAAGGCAAGTTCAAGGGGGCAGAGTGCAGGAAGGTGAGCATGGGATCATATTGAGATAGCCTTCATTTGACCTGGTTTTGGAACCACACCTAGGGAGAAAGCCTTTCAGTGAAGTTTTGGGTGGAAAATATGCATAAATGGCTAGGATCTGGATGAGGATGTATTGTGCTCTATAAATGGTGAAGCCAAGCCCCCAGATTTCTCCCTTTTTGTCACACTGGTTACTTTAAAGTGGGGGCCCCCTGGTGGTCTAGTGGTTAGGATGCGGCGCTCTCACCGCCGCAGACTCGGTTCGATTCTCGGTCAGGGAAACCCTCCGGGCAGATGGAGCTCGTCAGCCCTGTAAGGCCATCCATCTAAGAGAAGGTCACTCTAAACAAACCTACATCCTGAGGACCTCCCTGCCACTGTCCAAACTCGCTCGGCCCCAGCAGTTGAACCTCAGGATTTAAGGGTGGGCTCAGTTCAGCGCACACTGTGTCTCACCTAAAAAATCCACTGCGCAGGCTCGAAGGGTAAAGACCTTTCCCAAATCTTCGTTCGCAAAGACTGGCCATACCTACCTACCTACTTTAAAGTAACCATTGTTGGGGGAGAAGAAGGATTTTTTTTTTTTTTATTATATCAAAGGAACATCTCATAACATTGTGATCAAAAGCAGATACTGCTTGTGGAAAAGTATAATGGTCGGGCATGTATGTAGTAGTTTATCCCTGAAGATTTCTTGACTTCTGTTCTGTGAACATCTTTTGTCTTCTCTTAGAAGTCTGTAAGCTTTTAGCATTGACAGTCTATTCTGGCTGAGTTCCGCAACTTGACAATGTCATGAAGGAGTGTTCTGAAAATTACTCATTTGATGGTTTTCTTTTCCTGCATTGAAAGAGAAAATAACTCTGTGATCCCTAATCACCTTTTCCATGCCTCTCTTTCCATAGACCTTTATCTGTTTCTAGACTAAAAGGTTGTTAGCCTGCTCAGCTGTTTTTAGGGTAGAGATGATTTGATCATTTTTGCTGCTTTTCTCTATTTTTTTCCTCTGTATCACTTGGGTTGGAAGGGTACTGAGTGGAGGGACAAAGGTTGCACTTAAGATGGAAATATAATTATGGAGAAACAGATGCAGGTATAAATCTGTTCTCAAGGTTCTCTTCACTGGGTCTGTAGGCCTGCTGTATTTTTTGCAAAGTGATGTGTAATTAGTTAGCTTCTGATGGTTTTTCAGCAAGTGAACGAGAGAGTTGTTCATGTAGAAGTGACAGAAGCGTGACATCATTCTGATATATCGCACATCATGAAAAGGTTTAATTTGTTGTCAAATAAATTAATTAAAATGTAGGCAATGTAAAGATGCATTGTGGAAGTTTAACGGTTTCTCTGTACAGCCCTCACAATTTTTGTTTTTGTGAATTATAGAAAACTCCTATGCAGGTAACTGTAGTAAAATAGTCTTATGTTTGAATCTCCGACCTCAGAATAACAGTACATACTTTGGAAGAGAATAGTTAATTCTTTTCATCCCAGTTTCCTACATATTGATACTTAATTGTAAAGACTGGCAGCCTGAAGACAAGTTGTCACCTGTCAGTAGTCACATTATATGGTGCATTTGGGAGCAAAGCAGGGAGGGAAACTGCAGCTGATTTGCTTTCTTCATTGAGAAGTGCCTGCAGAGACACGCAAGGAAGTAGTCAGAAGAGACAAATACAAATGCTTGGCTGATGTACATGCAGCTATCTGATATTCCAGTTGCACTGCTTAGCTTGCAAATCTGTCCTCTGTATATGTCCCACAGTTAGCTCTGCATAAAAAGTGCTTCTTCGATGACTTGGTCTGGTTGTCACACTGGTTCACTGTGGTTTTAGCATACTGTGTGGCAGAGTAGTCTTAGGTGAAGATAACAGAGAACTAGGAATAGACTAAAATTTTTATAAACAGAAAAGTTTGTTTGTAACTAAAGTTATACAAAATACAAACTAGATGAAGTGCTTTGAATAATAAGTGAGCATTCCTAGGCCTTGAGAGACTCACCATGCTCTAGCTATTGGAATGCTGATTTAACACTGCCAATTTCTGGTAGTTCTGTTTCTTCAAGTTGTTTTATCTTAAAGTTAATGACACTTATTCTGATAGAAGTTCAGACTTAGCATCATAGCATCACACAATCACTTAGATTGGAAAAAGTCCTTTAAGATCATACAGTCCAACCATTAAAATATCCCTGGCAGTGATGGGAATTGAACCTGTGCCCCAGAATAGAGTGGAGCCTTAATCCTGCACCTTGGCATGTTTGGCCATGGCTACCCTGGTGTACTTGTGTAGCACACACTTAATGTTACTCATCTTAAGAACTCCTCTAGCATTGTGGCTTGTGCCTTCTATTTTCTGCTGAATACAAATTTGGAAGTGGATCATTCCTCACCTGCTATCAGTTGACTGCCAGTTTTTGTCTTTTTTTTTTTTAAGATGCTTCCAAAATTATGCTTTGAGGTTGGGTCTTGGCCTGGTGTGCTAATACAGACTCTCAGAAATATGCCAAATGGTTGTTCTTAACATAGCAACAGCTGTTATCATTTACAATTCTAGTGTTTAGGGAAAAATCAGCTGATGCTGACATTTTGATCAATAGAAGCTTGTGATCCAAACTGTTTATAGAATTCATGTCCTGTGTTTGAACTACATTTTCCTTTCTATCTCCATTTCTATTTTGTACTTCCTACATCTACACTCCCTCTCTTTTTCAACTTGCTGTTTCAGCTGCTGGGGAATTCCTTTCCAGAGGCTGAAATAAAGTACATCCTTGACAGGTAAAACATGTTGAGAGAATTCCATCATCTAAAAGCATAGAGTTCTGGGAAGCATGTTCCAGTAACTACTTTGTTTGAAAAATCTTGAAAGTGACTAATGGAAAACTTTTTAAGTAAATAGTTCCTCCTCATAGCTTCTGTTTCTGATAAGATTGTAAGGTAAACTGAACTTGAATATAAAAGTTGGTGGAATACTTAAATCTTTTTAAAGATTTGTTGAATATGGTACTAGCCACTCAGCTTTTGGAAATATAAGCTCACAAAAACAAAACAGTTGCTATTAAACTGAAAACTTACCCATAATTGCCTACCTAGGGCTATAAAATGCTACAATTACATTTAGATAATCAATCCCAGACAACTAACAACAGTATTTCAGATTCTGAAATGCTGTATTTGATGGTAAGTACTCACTGGTAATGAGTTGACTGTGATAATTATGATTGACTGTGGGGCTGGGCGTATGAACTGAGTCTGGATTAGAGAGCAGCCAGGCATGGTCGGTGAGATCATCAGAACCGAACTGCTTAAATTTTTGTGGAGTTCACATAACTGAACCAGGCACCTTCCATCATAGCTCAACCAAAATTAAGTAGGTTAAGCTCTTTGACTGTAACATTAGCTTCCAAGGTAATGTAGTACCCCTTTCTTGGATTTCTCTAGTTTCCCAACCAGCAAATGTTGGGAAATATTAACGTTTCAAAATATATTCTTTGAGCAGCAGTTGCAAAGCAAAATAAAGCTGTGGAGGGAAAAATTCTGAAAGAATAGAGTATGGCTGAGGAAAACTTACGAGGCAGGCAGAATTATTTTAGGCAAGATCCTGCTGCTTGTTTTTTGGAAACAGCAGTGAGAGCTGTCAACATTCAGGAAATGCTCAAAACAGACAAAGTGTGTGAATTAGTTCAATTTCTGTGTGAAGATAGACACATGAGTTATTTTTAAAAGCATGTGAATCTCCTCAGAGAGCCTTGGTAAAGAATGTATTCCATAAACTAGACTCTTACTCCAGGGTGTTTTGAGGAAAACTAAATATCTTTTCTTAGATTAGTATTTCCTTAATGGAAGGTCTCTCTAGGTTAAATTCTGATACGAATAAAACAATTTAAACTGATGAAGTCAAGCAGCAATGGAGGATAGCATCAGAGAAGAAATAAGGCTTTCAGAGGAGAGGAAAATATAACTGCTGACTACTGAGGAAGAACAGGCAGAGGAAAACAAAGTGTGGAACAAGAGAAGGAAACAAAATGCTTGAAAAGAAAGATGCTGAAGTAATAACAAGGCATGGAGTGTAGAAGAAACTAAGCAGAAACAAAAATTATTACTAGATTGAAAAAAAGGATGTATAACAGGGGTAAAAAAAATGAAAAATGTCCTACAATTAGTGCTTTTTTTCCTTTCATGTTGAGTGAAAACACTTCTATGAACTTTAGAGTGAATACATGCAACATAGTTTGTGATACTTGAATTAAACTGCCATTACTTTGTACGTAGAGGCTGAAATAGGTGTTGTCCTGCACTCTGTGCTTTGATCACAATGGTTACGCAAGTTTCAAACTCGGATGGTGCCAGGCAACAGCTTTGTAATTTTGGTGCTCTTGATCAGGCAGGAGTATGAAGTTCATTGTAGAATAAGAACCATCTCACAGTATAGCAGAGAAACCTTCTCTGCCATTCCACACTTGTCCCATAGCTGCATGTAGAAGACAGAGAGAAGCTCACAGGCTCTTGAGGCAATCAAACCTCATACATGCCATTTTAGCTGACGATTTCAATGTCATCTTGTGAGGGGTATAGAATCATAGAATCATAGAATCGATTGGGTTGGAAAAGACCTCCGAGATCATCGAGTCCAACCCTTGGTCCAAATCCAGTCCATTTACTAGATCATGGCACTCAGTGACACGTCCAATCTGCGTTTAAAAATCTCCAGGGATGGTGAATCCACCACCTCTCTGGGCAGCCCATTCCAATGCCTGATTACTCTCTCTGTAAAGAATTTTCTCCTGATATCCAACTTAAATTTCCCCTGGCAGAGCTTAAGCCCAGAACTGAACACAATACTCAAGGTGTGGCCTCACCAACGCAGAGTACAGGGGAAGGATCACTTCCCTGCTCCTGCTGGCCACGCTATTTTTGATACAGGACAAGATCCCATTGGCCTTCTTGGCCACCTGGGCACACTGTTGGCTCATGTTGAGCTTCCTGTCAATTAGTACCCCCAGGTCCCTTTCTACCTGGCTGCTTTCCAGCCACTCTGTGCCCAGCCTGTAGCGCTGCATGGGGTTGTTGTGGCCAAAGTGTATCTAGGACTGCACACTACCCAGACCCTCCACCAACTGAAACCTGACTACTGTGAGTTCTGAAAAAAGCTCTTGGCACCACCACCACTTACACAGTTCCTGTAGTTTGTGAGCTATAGAATCGCTGCTGTATTTCATGTTCTTTCCACTACAGACAGAAGTATGGTTATTTGCATTTTACATGGAATTTCTACCAACCTCTGAACGATTCCAGTTCATTGGAAGTAAAGCTATACAACTTGATTGTTGTATTTTTTTATAAATAATTATGATTTTTCGCAGTCAATTTCAAACCCTTAGATGTTTGTGAGCTTTTAAAAGTAATCCTGTTGTATTTACGTTGGTTTGTTTTGAACCTATTGCTTGTTACTTATAGACTAAGATCCACAAAATGCTGTGTCCTGGTTTTAATGAAGTTTTATGAAAATTCACCTGACTTTAATGGTAAAAGAAGGGGAAGTTCAAAATGGATTTTCATTCGCACAGTCCTTTAGCATGGATCGTGTGTGTTTGTTTCTTTTGCTTAAAAGTCAGTGGCTTTTGCCTAGTCCTTGAAATAATACGTAATGTTTCTTACATAATAACTGGTGATTTGCTCTTACTTTGTGTCATGAGACAAAAGAAACATCTGTATTCTAAAGCAGATTCTTGAACTGACTTGCTAGAACTGCTGTAATACAGCTTGACATTGGCAGCTCTCCTTTTTCTCTGTTACTATGCTTCTTGAAAATTAAAGAAAAAAGTATAAAGCTGCATTGATTCCCATGCTTTTTGTCGTCTTGTAAATGTTGGTTTCTCCAACTTAAAATGATAACATTTGATGATGTAATACTTCAGTGAAGAAAAACTCGCGGTATTGTATATAGACAGGAATCTCAATTCAGCCAGCATGTATGTTTGAATACAATGGGATTTTTTTAGTGGTAATTAAGATGCTTCCTTGTGCTATCACAAAACAGTAATGCAGTAAAACTTGGACTGATGGACCATGGAGCTTGGGTAAAGTGTAAGTTCATATTTGGACATGACCTGGCAAGGTATACTCGCAGCCCAGAAAGCCAGCTCTATCCTGGGCTGCATCAAAAGCAGTGTGGGCAGCAGGTCAAGGGAGAGGATTCTGCCCCTCTACTCTGCTCTTGAGGATCCCACCTGAAGTACTGCAACCAGATCTGGGACCCTCAGCACAGGAAAGACCTGTTGGAGCGGATCCAGAGGAGGGCCACAGAAGTGGTCAGAGAGGTGGAGCACCTCTCCTGTGAGAAAAGGCTGAGAGAGCTGAGATTGTTCAACCTGGAGAAGAGAAGGCTCCAAGGAAATCTTATTGCAGCCTTTAGTAGCTGAAGAGGGCTTGTACGAAAGGTGGGGACAGACTTTTAATAGGACCTGTAGGGACAGGACAAGGGGTAATGGTTTTAAACTAAAAGAGGGTAGATTTAGATGAGATACAAAGAAGAAATTTTTTACTGTGAGCATGGTAAAACACTGGTATAGGTTTCCCCGAGAGGTGGTAGATGCCCCATCCCAGGGAATGTTCAAGGTCAGGTTGGATGGTGCTCTGAACACGCTGATCTAGTGAAAGATGCCTTGCTCAGTGCAGAGGGATGGACTCAGATGACCTTTGAACTTCCCAACCCAAACTATTCTGTGATTTTAGACAGAAAAATGTAGCTGTTAGTTATATCTTAAAAATAAATAATAAAAACTTGATAGCCTTTAAACTTCTGTTCTAATCAATTTGTACTTGATTAACAATAGGCTATTTGAAATCTCAGGCTTGCATTTGTATAACTCACTACAGTTGATGAATGGGATCCAACTTTTCTGCAGAAGTGGCTAAGCAATAATGTCTGCCCAAGTTATTTGAATCACTTTAAATCTCTTTTCCCTTGTATTGCATTATAGCTTTTTTTTCTTTTTATAGTCCTTAAACTTGTTTGACAGTAATGCTGTCATTCTGAGTGTATTCTTTGGAGCTTTTACGCAAGCAGTTTCAAATCTTCATTAAATTTTTTAGGGTCTAGGGATGATGTTACCCAAGATATCTGAAAAGCACAGATTTGAAGACTTGTTTCTATAACAGAGAGTGAATTCTAGTGCAGTTCATGAAACACTGATTAACTAACTACTGTGATCATGGTGAAACTAAGCAGCAAAGAGAATTTTTAAAGCTTTTCGCTTTAGTTAAATATTAAACACCAAAGGTGCTCACCTAGTGAATATGGAAATCAATAGATGTGTAATGGTCTGAGAAGACAGAGTATATCCATGTATGAGACCAAGCCAGTGAATGTACTAGAGAAGAGCCTGAAATAGTAGAAGTAAGGGAAGCTGAAGACAGGAAGGTGCTTCAGGAAGTATCTAATCTCAGTAATGGAGGCAAAACATTTTGTTGATTAAAATAATTTATTGAGAAAGCATCTATTCTCGATTAGGTTTGTCTTTTCCCCATAAACTAATAAGTCTTTCTTCTGTATGTTTCCCTACCTTCATAGGGACTGGACAAAGGTTACTTTCATGTAGGAGGAAGAAAGCTTCCAGAAAGGAAAGATTCAGCAACATGTTTTCCTGTACCTTATGACCTGCCACCAGAACAGTATGGAAGCAAAGGTAAGATGCGTCTTCAGAAGAAAAGTGGGTGTATTATACGTGAAGTAAACTAATTTGAGTAATTCTGAGTCAGCTGAATACTGCTGTGTTCTAAAGCTTTATTTTAACATTTTTGTGGCATGACGGTATTTGATACGGTATCAGTCCATGTTCTGCTAGTGACTTCAAAGAAAGCAACTATAGAGTTCTTTAGTTTTAATTTTTTTCTTTATTGTTGTTTAAGTTTTGGATTAACAACTTCAACACTATTTTTTATTCCTCCTCTAGGGTTCTTATGTGCATTAGGAAAGTAGATATGCTTTATGTAACCAAAATGTTTTTCTGCAGAAACAATGGAGGAAGGAGTGTTGAAAGGGGAATGTTTGGAAGAGAGCAGGCATAAGTTAAAAACAATCCTCTGGAAGTGGAGTACTAAGAAAATACTATAGAGCAAATGTGAAAAAATTGCTGCAAATCAGAAGAAGAGTTGCTTTTGATCCATTCTATACTTCATAGGCTATACTTCATAACACTTAAAGAGGTTTACAAAATTTCAACTTTCTCAGTTTCCGAGACTAGCTCTAGAATATACAAATCAGGAAAGTGATAAGGAAGTGCAGCTATGTGGTGATGATGGCTCAAAAATCTAAAAATATATTGAGGATAATAGTGTTGATGCACAACCTGAAATACTTGGTAAGAGTCAATTTCTGTATTTTTGTTCTTAAAGATAATGTCAAAAGATTGTAACTTCTTTTTCGAGAAACCTTAATCTAAAAAAGACATCCTCTATAGCAGAGCTTGAAATAAGAGTGTTTATAGAAGCTCACATCTTTCTGTACATTTTTGAACTAACAAATGATGTGGGGAGAAACAATGTTTAAAAGCTAAGAAGTCAGTAGACTTCAGTGGAGTCTTATATAGTAAATAAAAGTGAAGACACATTGTTTCAGGGTGATGGGAGTCCTGCAGCAGGATCAGAGCCTGTGAGCATGATGCTTCTTGCTGTGGTTGAAGTAAGAAGGTTTCACCAGCATACTCTTCATCAGGTGACCTGTAGTAAACACCAATCATGAGGTTTCCTTTGTTGGCTTGACCTCCAATTTTTTGACCCACAAGCTCTCACTCACATTGCAGCTTTTCAAGCACAGCTCTGTGCAGTCAATCCACTTTTTTATATAGAGAGGAAATCCCTGTCTCTCTTCCTTGTCTGTCCCTCCTGAACAGCCGATAGCCATTGATTGCAGTGCTCCAGGTATGTGATTTATGCCCCCAAGTTTCAGTGATATCAATTAGATCACAGCTTTGTAACTGCATAGTGGCTTACAACTCCTGTGTATCATCCATGCTGTGTGCGTTGGTGTACAGGCACTTCAGCTGGGCTGCTGATCATGTCACCTTTTTAGAGGAACAAGCCCTAATTCCTTTGCAACATTTCACAGGTGTTTCCCTGTTGGTTCCTAATGCTGCAGCAGCCTCTGGCTCTTCTGTGTTGTTCAAATCTCCATCCTCTTTTACCACTGAGTCTAGAATAAAGCCCTGCTTACAGTTCTGGCCAGCTTGTTGACAAAGAGGCTCTTGCCCCACTTGGTCAGGTGAATCCCTTCAGCTTCCAGCAAACCTGACTTCTCATCAGTAGGTCCATGATCATAGAAGTCAAAACCTTAAGTATGGCAGCAGCTACACAGCCTGGCATTCACCTCTTCAATATGATGTATGTTCTGTAGCCTGGAAAAATGATTGTTCTGCTCTCAAGAGCTCACTACTTACCTAGAAGAAGTCCTAAGTGGTATTTCAGTTTTCCCAGAGGAAAAAATACTGGCTCAATGTAGAAATGATAATAAAAGCTTTTTATGCTGTTTTATTTAGTATAAAACAACTCTGTCCATTTTAGTACTGTTAATGTTGTGTTGGGGAGCAGTGGCAGGGGTTGTGCCTGGGTTACAAGCCAACT